CTATCCAGTAAAAATGGCCACTGTCAAAGAGCTTAATGGTTAACCGATTCCACTGTTCAAAGCACTTAATTAAACAATAGGAGTACACTTCCTTTCTCACAACCTCCCTATTTATCTTGATAACTGGGTTGAAAACTTTTATTTGTTAGCAACCGACTCAAATGAATATAAATTTAGAAGCGAGCATGAACATTTAGCTACTCGACAACTGCTCCTTTCCAGACCGCAATAGGTTTCCCAACTTAGTGCCGTAGCTAGTTTGGGGTGGAATATTTATAAATTGTTTATAGGAAAGGTTCGAACATATATAGAAAAGTTTCAAGTCAGAACAAGCAAACTTTATAATTACTTTATTGTATATTTTTATTTTACAATATCCGGTTCACTCAGATGAGTAAATTTCATACAATTTGTACACCGTCAAACTTTACGTTTTTCAGTTTTGACAAGTTTTTCGCATTAATAACATTTTAGCATTGCTTATATCTAGATGAAACATTTAAATATTTTATAGTTGCATTTTTCCATGAATAAAATTGGTTTTAGAGTTCACTGGCGGTTGTTAAAAACTATGCCTGACCGAAGATTTGCGTACGTCTTTTGATCAATTAAGAAGGCAAGTAACTAAAATACCGACTAGTCGATATTTCGTTTGATTGGATAAAAATTTCTGATAGAATGATATATTTCGTTAACAATTATTCTGATTTATTTTCCTTCCAAAACTGATTAATGTTTTAGCACTTTATAAATTATAGTTTTTATACAAAATCTTTTAATTGTGAATTGGTGTTTGTAGTTTGTGTAAATTTTGCGCTGTTGTCTCGCCGAATCGTAATGAAATAAACGATGTTAAAAAATTTTACTTCACACTTTGACTGAGACCCAGGAAAGATAACTTAACAATTATATATACTGACATTAATAGCGTGTAGTACTTTAAACACTCGACTATTGAATTATTGATTTAAAAGCAGCTTGAGATATTCTTATTGCCAAAAGCATTAGTCAGAGATTATTAAGATTACTCAATTTTTGTTGAACTTTACCAGGCTTTGTACAAATATGAGTCTTGAATATCTTAAATAAATGCAATATAGGGAATAACTGGACAAGTCTGGAAATCTGATTTAGAGCTTCCGGAACCCTTTCCAGCTTCAGCAGTTTATACTTTATTGTCTAAAATTTGCAATTTAGCATGAAAGCTTTAATTGTTTTCATAGTATCTTGCAAGATTTCAAGTACAATTTTAAATATATGTCTAATTTGATCGTCAGTATATATGTTTTGGTTTAATATAAACGGGTTACCTGCAGTAAAAGAGGACTGATTGCTTTATGCAATAAGAAGAGTTACGAGAAAATCATGTCTAATACATATAATAAAAGTGCAAGTAAAGCTCAACAATCAACAGAGTTACATATAATAATTTCTAGATAAGGTTGGTCACAACTGCCTTTTATGGTACAAGGTGTTGCAAAAAAGTACGCCAATCAGTTCATTACGAGTTCCTCGAGCAAAATGTATGCCATGAAGAAATGAAAAATATTTTATTTTTAGTAGCAAAGCTTAAACACAATTTTGGTTTGTTTCGAATTGCTTGGTTACTGGTTTCACTATTTCACTATCAGCATAATGACATGGTTAAAAAAAAATTTTGCAAAATTTAGATTAAAAACTTTTTTTTAAAGTGCCATGCAGATTCCTGCTTAGATGTCCTCCGTTTAATTATTTAATTATCTTATCTTAAGATTAATTAAAAGACATCTTTAATTCAATAAAGCTTCTTTACTATCAGCATTTACTATCAATTTTGAATTTAATTTTCCACAGCTCTCCAAGCAAAGTAATTAGGTATTCTAGACCAGATAAAGCAATAAAAATTTATAATAGAAGACTAATTTGTTACAGTTATGAAACCCACGTCGTAACACTGAAAGCTCGATTGAAACATTTGAAATGAAATATATCGAAAATACGTCCAGAAACCTCCATTCTTCATAAGTTTTTTGCCTGCAGAAAACACTCAAACTGTCGGACTGGAAAACCACATTCAAAAAATTCTACGCTAATAGTGAAACCAGTTACGAAGCAATCCAAAACTAACCGAAGTTTTATTCAAACTTTGATACCCTGTATATCATACACACGGTGGTCCCAATTGGAAAATGTCATTGTGAAACTCGTATTCATTTTGCTCAGGAAAACTGCAGCTAACGGATTTCTGTAGTCCAAAAACTTCCGCAAGCAGACGAACTTATTATTTGATTTTGATTAGATATTTAATCTCAATTTTTCTTTAAGTTTAATCTTCTGCATATTCCTTCGTCCAACTATTGCGTCCAATAAATTGTATTTCGATTTGTAGAATACGCAACTGCTTTTATGTATAAAAACAAACCTTAAAACTTTGTCAGTTTAAATCATGGAACATTCTTTACGCGTCCGGCCTGGCCACATGTCCCTTGGCCTCTACCTTCGTCATATTTCCTATTAGAACATAAGGTAATTTCGGAATGGTCTGAATTTTTGAATCGTTCACTTGGATGATGAAGTTTTTATTTTTGCAGCTCTGGGGAGTGTAAACTTTTCTTCAAGTTCAAAATAGCTTTCAATTTATCTTGAATGTGCCAATTTATATTTTCCTTTGATCGATCTTTGCTCTAGTTAGTTGCCGGTTCGAAAAATGTCACATGCGTTTTGTAAAGAACAAACTGAACTTTGTATTTTCGTCGTAGAGTCGTACGTCAATGGCTTTGCTTCTTAATTACACTATTTCAATATAACATGTAAAGTTACGTCCTTGCCTATTTACGTTAGCAATACTTGTAATGATTAATAGAACAAATTATTAAGGAATGGAGAAATCAATTATATTTTTCATGTAAAATGTCCCGTAAAGTTCTGCATTCAAAGCACGAAACCGTTTAAAGTACATCTACTTGCTAAACTTGTCAATAAAAAAAGGAATAAGTAGGTGTATTCTTATTACGAAAGGAAAAGTTCGGAGGAAAAATCAGGACATCAGATGTCAGCAGTCTACGTTTTACAAACTTATTTCGGCATCTTCAGAGCATTTAATAGCTGGATGATATTTTGTTTCAGTTTGAAGTACAGTGATAATTTCAAACAAGTTACAACAACATAGGAAAAGCCAATAAAAGGGCCAGGCCGACCATAAATCTAATATTAACAAGGAAAAACATGACATGAGTAAAATATTAAATTAAAAAAACAGCTGAAATTGTTTCCTTAGAAGTTCAGTGTGGAACCGTTGGTTCTGCAATGCGCTTTATTATTTGGATCAAAATCTCATTAATGAAAAATACAGTTTGAAATTCCCAAACTTGTGGCGTTATTTAAATAAGAAGAATGTGAAATTTTGAGTGGTCTGAATTTTTATCACTGTATTTTTATTTGTTATCAAGTAATTTTGTTATGAACGTACAGGGACAATTTTTTAAACGTCTCACCAGAGTTACTACCAGTCCTAAATTCAAACTGATAGCGAACTCACGTATGGACTGCAACGCTTTCTTCGCTGCTAGCAAAACATTTCTTCAATTCTTCCCTGTTTTCTCATGTATTGGATATCACTTATGTTGCCCTCGAATTTGCTTCCCTTGACTTAACGCCTCGAATTGTTGCGGATCTTTCCCAATTTCCAGTAGTGGTACAAAGAACTCTCTATATGAGAAGTTGTATACGATTGGGACTCGAACATTAAAACTTGCATTTTTTGGCGAAATAAGTTTAGGAATTATTTTTTTTATAATACTTGAAAAAACCAGCCGATTCTAACGTAGATTATAAGCAGGAGTTTTCACGTGTATGAAACCTATAAAGAAAATTAGTAAAACACTTAAAATATAATGAGTTTGAAAAATAAACATCCGGTGTAGCAAAATTCGCTGAAAAACCTATTTTTATCACACGGTATTTTCATGTAAAATATCGGTAATTTTATCTAGCTAGATATATTTCAGGTTCACATATATAAATACTGACAGACAAAAACTTTAACACAATAAAACACAAATAAATTGAAGGAATTTTATATGTTTTTATCTCGTTTTATATGTTATTATCTCAGGTTAAGACCTAACCAAGTGAATTAAGTCTAAATTGAATTATTAATCATTTTAATTTGAAAAACTAAGACTGCGTGCGCAAACCAACACTCAAATCAGAGAACAAAAATTTCTTAATATACAAAAACTTTGCAAACTTTTTAATTTATAAAGTTAGCCAAAATAAAAAAGTTATTAAAAATATGTTCTTAAAATGCTATTTTCCGTACACTCGCACACATTGCAAAAAGTCCGTTTTTGCAATCGTGTGCTTATTAATTATTCCATATTTCCCATTTAATTTTATTTATGCTTCCGTGTTGCTTTAAAAATACTGTGCTTTCCATGCAATTATATAATTCAGAATGCCTTATCTGCAAATATTACCAAATTTCTATTTCGCACCTTTTATCGGAAACCCTTCAATAGCTTACTATATGTTCGCCTTGGGAATATAGGCCACAACTAAATAATCAAAGGACCACAAGCGGAAGCCTTCGGGTTTATGCAAAGTATGGAGGAAATTAAACCGATTAAACAAGTTCAACCTTCTCCTCCGATTTTGAAGGGTTCAATAAAGCATCGCTGGTGGAATCATTATATTTTCAAAACAAAACCATTAGGGAAACACCTGAAAAGGCTTTTAGAAACCTGATTGACAAGCAAGCGCTACGACTTGACGTCGTTTTTTAGTCATAATTAAATTATATTTATTCATCCCGTCGACGTTTCCAAGGAAAACTTTATTTTTAGACTCCTAATGGCCTTTCATGGAATTATGTTTATTCAAAGTTTTTCTATTAAGAGCTAATCCGAAAGTTTCAGGCGAATGCAACGATAATATCTTATAAACACAGCTTTCAAAACTCGGATATAGCTAGACATCGTCGGATTAAATATAAATAAGATTAGTAGGTAATTAAAGAGCAGTTAGTATCACTGGAATGTTTTATTGCCATTTTACATAAATAAGAGATTATTTTCCAAGTTCGTCCTGAATCTCCTGGAAACTTTTTCCTTTGGTCTCTGGGATCACAAACAGTACGAAGGCAACGGCAGACGCTGACACCAATGTGAATATGAAGAATGTTGTGTATGCACCGACAGCTTTGCTTAGTGGCTCATAGCCAACGGTTACTACAAAAGCCAAAAACCAATTGAACATTCCAGCATATGAACTCATTCTCGCCATGATAGCGGGGGGAAATATTTCTGAAGAAGCCAACCATGGGATCGGACCCATACCAATAGAGAATGCGATAATAAAGAGAACTAGAGCGAGCAAAGGTAGCCAACCTAAGCTTTCAACTGTGCTTTTCGCTGCCAACTCTTTATTCTTGATTAAAAAGTAGATTCCCAGCAGCAGGGTTGAAAGCGCCATTATTCCGCCTGATAGCATTAGCAAAAGCTTTCGTCCTAAGGCTTCGACTAACCACGTGGAGAAAATTGTCACTATAACTTGAACAATTCCAACGATGCAGACACAGAGCTCAGCTTTTATACTTGAAGCTGCTTCTTTGAAAATAGATCCTGAGTAAAACATAACAGCATTAATTCCAGACAATTGCTGATAGAACATCAACATAAAGCAAATGACTGAAGATTTCCATCCTTGCTTGGATTTCAGCTGCTCTTTGAATTGTCCTTTTAGTTCCTCTTCTTTTGCGGCTTGTTTCTCGACTTCAGCAATTTCGGCGGATGGGTCATAATCTTTGCCTCTGAGTCTGGCATAAGCGGCCATGGCTCGATCCTTTTTTCTGTTCTTGATCAAATATATTGGAGACTCGGGTTGGAAGAAAAACAACAATCCAAATACAACGGGTACAGCTAAACACATGATGCAGAATAATATGATTGGCACCGCCCATCCCAGGACATTGGACCATAAAATGCCAATGGTGATGAACAATTGCATGAACGTCCCTAAAAATAAAACAAAATATAAAGATGTAGAACGACACATTGGACAAAACCTTAAAAATCTGCAATGTTGCAATATGCAACTTTATATAATGGTGAAATTTACAGTGAATGTTACAAACTACTTTTCGTTAAAACTGGCGAGTTTAGGTTGTCCACTAAAAGAAACCCTTCCTGATATTTTGGAAGCCCCAGTCCCTTGCACGGTCGGCACTGGACAGTGTAAAATTCCAGAAAAAATCGGGGAATGCTTGCGAAAACGTTTCCCGTAAAAGTACTAAAAGTTTAACGCCTTTTGGTAACTGCTGGGTTAGTTTACGTACTTAACGTAAGATCTTCACTAGCATACAGAAAACTATCGTGTTGATTAATGCGATGAGGACCGTTGATTAAATGTTCCAATCCTACTAAGAGCAACATTTTGTGTATATGGAACATTCTTATTCTAGAACTTGCCTGCCTTGCCGTGCCATTTTGCATGTTAATCATAACAAATTTTGCATAGTGAATCGTAAACATACAGTTGATTTATTTGTTCTACCAAAGCAAGTTCCGGAGTCATTTTTGTTTCTTAAGATCATTTTTCGGCTTTCGGGGCATGCACCATTCAGCCCATACTGGGTTCGGAATAAAGAAATCCGAATATTGTTAAATTCAGGAGTGAAACACAAAATATGAGAATTTCATTCTGTAAATGGTTTTATACTTTTTCACAATGTCTAATAATGCGGTTTTTTTCAGGTATGTTTCGAGATGTTGAAGCAAGTTTCCAAATTGAATTATATAACATAACAGCTGGTAAGCGATTAAAGTTTTATAATTATTTGCTTGATAACGCTGGTATTTACATTTGAAAGCTACATATTTTCACATAAAATAATATTTTAAGAAAAGTTTCGTCTACAAATCTATCCGAAGTTGGTCGTTTCGAGCTAGTTTACCGGGAAGAAATATTGAAAACACAAAAGATAATATTAGTACAACAAATGCCTTCAAAAATAAATTATGGACGTTTAGACGTGATTTCTGAAGATAATGTGTCCAGATTACATTTGGTTGTTTGGTTGTGGTATTGTGGGATGAATTGGAACTTTTCTATGGAAATTAAAAATAACTGAGACAACAATTTTCACTATTCTTATAAAGTAGAGCAGCCCCATATGCGACCACCTGAATTAAAATGTTCACTGAGCATTTAAACTAAAATGTATTCATGTATTTATTATCGATTACGTTAAAAATGTCGAGTAGAATTTGTTAATAGATAAAATACGAAATGAAAGTTTTACTTTTGCATCATTTGCCGATTTGATTTTGTAAGAATTTAAACTTTTCGGTATAAATCTCCAATCTTTATTCGACTGTCTAATTTATTGACAAAAATCCTACCGACAATTAAAATAAGTTCAGTCAATCTAAGCATGTTCTTCACATGAATTAATATATTTTGATCATTGTCATAGCTCCTAGAATTATTTAAGTTTACACTTCTAAGACAATTCTATTAATAACCAAGCCTGTTCATTAACTGCATTTTTTCATTTAATAGGATGTGTCAATAAAGCATCTCATTTGAAACCAGCTAATATTAAAAATAATTTCCTTGTGAGGTATTTAAACAAACAATAGCCAAAGGATCATCTAACTAATTTAATTGATCTAAATGAATGCAGGAAGATGAATGATCTAAATAAAACAGCAGGCCCACGTGTCGGCGTTCTTTCAAACCTTATTATTTGTACGGTCCCAGTCATAATCTTTTTCCGATACTTTTTTAATTTGATTCTGATTAGTTAGCTGTAGAGCAAGGACTAAAAATTATAATGTTATTAGCATTTTACCTCACACAAATTAAAACAATTGAGTGGATTTGTGACATAAACAACCAAGTTTGCAACTGTAATAATATTAAATTGGACTACAAGGCGGCACCTAAATAGCCATTTTGCTCATTACCATATCGTGAATAGTTGTTGCTTGATAGGAAAAGCCACAAAACTAACCTACTATTTGGCTCAAACGTGCCTAAGCATAAAGGAAAAGGTGAAAGCAAACCGCATTTACCAAAGTGAATAGAGCAGCCCATGTTACTGATGGAAGTAATCAATTTAAATGCTTTACGGTTTCAAATGTTTAGAGTGTAAAAGGTTTTCAAGTAAAATTCAAATGCAGTATTAAGAATGGCGGTATTACGTTTCCAAAACATTTATATGTGTATTACCAAAGTTTCGTCCAGGAAAGGTGCCATACGAAAAATGTTTTTTTTTACTTGCACCGATTTGATAAGTTAAAGAGGATTCAACATCAACCGTGTCTGGTACAAGGGACTGCTACTACAGCTACTAAACATCCCAAAATTATACATTGTTTCTCTGTGTTCTAATATAGCAATGTAATATAGTGTTTGCTCTTGCATTGTATCGTCTCCTATCTGCATCAATTGCAAGAATCTCCAATTTAAGAGTTCAACATGATTGATAACAAGTAGTTATAATCAATTGTTGAAGTTCAATAACTTCTGTAAATTTGTGCAATTATTCAAAATATAGTAAATACTGAAATGTGGCAATAGTTGTGCCTATGAGCTTTACAATTCTGTCAAATAATGTATAATAACTATTATTTTAGACTAGACAGAATTGTTAAAGCTAGGCTTAAAGGTTAACGATAATGATTGGAAGTACACGATAAGTATGGGTACAAATATATGTTTTGGACCATCTCTAGTCTTAACTAAATATAGCTCTTAGAATTTTTTGTAAAAGGCGATTTGTGTCTCACTGTTCCTCATTTTCACAACTTTTCAGAATACTTTTTTATATTACTGATCTAAACTTAAAAATGTTCTCGTATAGCAGTCAACATATTTTCCTGTGTTCTCTGCCCTTTCAAAACACTTCCAGCGCCAACCAAAAAGTAGCTTGGCTTAATATGACGAAGGAAAACCAACAATTCTTTTCAAATAAAATTAGTGATTTTTTATGTGTGAAATTTAATATTGAAGGTAAATTTATGACTTAACAAAAAAGTAGTAAGCTTGCTGTTTATTAGTGTGCACCAATTCTAATTCGAATGGAAAAGGAATCAGACACGTAAATTAATTAAGAATACTTGATAAATGTTATTTAACTGTTGTTATTGGAGATAACGAGTTACAATTTTCTATTCTAAACCGATATAATTTGCGTTTAAAAGTTAGAACTTTATTGTACATTATATGAAAATTTGCAAAAATAGATTTACTATGCTTGAGCCAAATATATATTGGAACTAAATCAGTATGAAAAAGGTTTGACTATAAAAAACAATAAAAAACTAAAAGCGTTTGACAAAGCGGAACTTGAACAATCATTTAGAATACTGTTTTTTGATCCCAAATATTTATTTATTGCAAAGCCCCAATATATTTTTCGAATTTTAGTTGCGAGTTACCTCTTATTTGATTTTCCACTGTTCTCGGTTGACAAAACGGGGTATGTAGGATAAAAATACCTATC